TAAAAGGGAATACTGCTATAAAACTTACCGAAACATTTACTGCAATCTACCACATGAAAATTAGTTTGCATTTGAAAAACTACATTTTGTTGCTTTAGTTACCGTGTATTATACTTTTAAGTTTTCTAGTTTACCCTTTTACTGTTTAAAAAAATGAACATTTGTTTGTATTTGAAAAACATTTTTTTTTGTTTTAGTTACTGTGTATTATAATTTTGAGTTTGCTGGTTAATTCTCATACCGTTCAAAAAAATATATCATCTAATTAACTCCAAGTTTTTCATTACCCACTGTCCTATCTGCAGGAAGTCGAAAGAAAAAAGTCACACAAACTGCCGTTCAACTTTTTCAAAAATCTGGAAAATTCAAAACTTTTTTAACCACTTCCACACAAAATTGATTTACTTGAAAAACATACCAATCGTTGCATTAAAATGAAAAAGTCACCTCAAATAGTTTTTCGGTATTACCAAGAAACATTACACCCATTTTCGTTCTACTGTAAAATCTCTAAAATGTGTGGAAGGCGACGATTAAAACCCCTGCTCAGAAAGACGGGATCCTTTACAGTTCGACTAAGATGGCCGTGTGACCTTTGACAGGATTCATGAAGGTCCAGCTGATCTGACTCCACGGCCGATGTGTGATCACTCCCGCCTCTCCGCGGATCACTAGATCCAACGGTGGGAGATCCAGCAGAGCTTCCACTGAACTTTATGGTGTTGTCCGCACTGCGCTTGTAATACTGATACAAGCCAAAACGCAACATTTTATTGAATTAGGCTTTATTTGTCTCGGTTCCAATGCCAGGCCACAAAACCAAGGACCCATACAAATAGACGTACTATCGCCGTTTAGAGCCAGTGCACCTCTTTGGGTTTAAGCTCTTATTTCACTCCGACAAGCCCACAATGAATTGCTATTGTGACACTTAATCACTATGTATTTATTATATAAATTTTGGTAAAATTATCTAAAAAGTGTTCTACTTTTTTGTAAGGTCTAAAACCCTATTCTCTCTTGGTGAACGATTAAGTTATTTCTATAGGATAAAAACATTTTTGTGGTCATAAATTCAGCTCAATTTTCAATGCAGATTCGGCTGCCTCCGCATGCAAGATGTAGATTTTCCTTTCATATCGTTTCTATTTTCAAGTCGTGTCCCGTCCAAACGAAACTGCTTGGGAATACTCTTATGGCCACGATGAATTATGGAATATTATTCAAGAAAAAAAATGAGTCCTAATGTCGTATTCCTCCCAGATTTCTGCGACGATAGATATGAATATCTCAGCAACATTGTGCGTCCTGTAGTTGAGTTCAGATAGGGTGGCCGAGAAGTGCGTTGACATTAAATACTTACATACAAATACATAGAACAAGGAACACGCTTCTATATGAAACCTTGGGATGATTACCGTTTAAATATTTTCAATAGGAAAAAACTTTTACAACTACTTTTAAAATTTTATTTCATTATCTGCTAAATAAAAGTTACTTTTCAAACATGCATTCTCTTCTTTAGTTCTTACTTTTTAGTATTCACGATGTCAAATAACTAGTTTGGCATTTTCTAACTAACTTTCATATATTTTATTAATAGGACTAATATAAATAATAATAATACTTCTTGTGTTACGAGGGCTGTCTTTTAAGTTTTGCATATGGAAATAAAAAAACACGGTAGGTAGTGTTAAATGATTTATTGTTTTTCGAAGTATTCTCCACGAAGATTAATACATATCTGCATGCACTCGAACCAATTTTCGAAGCACTTATTCCACTCGTTTGATGGCAGATCCAAAACGGCATTTTTGAATGCGTCAACTGCTTCTTCTGGTGACTGGAACCTTTGACCATGCAGTCTGTTTTCAATTGTCGGGAAAGTAAAGAAATCGTGTGTACAAAAATTCAGATCAATTCGTTGAGGCTAACTGGTTCAAAATTCAGATCCAAGATTTCTCACACACACTCATACATACATACATAACATACAAACAGGTCAGTTAAATTAAAACTTGTAATAGGGAAGCTTTACATTAAAAAGCTGGATCTGGTCAGATAAATTTATTTGGTCCCTCATCATGCACGAAATATGTGGATAATCACTGATCAACAGCCAAAAAATATCCTAAATAAAATCAACAAAATATTACTATTTTTAATGTGCTAAAACCGGAATGAAACTTATTTTTTCAATATTAGTTCAGGTTTTAGAGATACGGTAATTATATGTGTTCCTGCTGTGACAGTGTTAATATACTGTAATTCACAAGAATGCACGTGCTACATTTTTATATTCGGCAAGGAAAGATGATGTAATCGGCATGATTGTGTTACGTTATACATACGTGTACATTATATTGTTTTATATTAGCCATTTTTTCCTCAGTTGACTGACAGCGTTCACGCAAGATGTCTCGAAAGTGTGTAAACAATCCAGATCAGTTTTGTTACGTGTGTGGTGATGTGACTTTTGCGTCTCAGAGATGGTCTATTACTCCACTAATAACAAAGGCATATCAGCTTTATTTCGGTTGTAAACTAGGTGATCAAGACAAACAGTAGGCACCCCACATCTGCTGTAATACATGTGCTTCAAGTCTGAGGAGCTGGTTAAATGGCAAAAAACGGTCTGTGCGCTTTGCTGTCCCAATGGTTTGGAGAGAGCCTACAAATCATATTAATGATTGTTACTTTTGCATGGTACCTTGTGTTGGACAAGCAACAGGTATGTCCAAGAAAAAAAAATCAGTTATTAACTACCCAAACATACCATCTGCGACGAGACCTGTGCCTCACAGTGACGAATATTCCAAAACCCCCAGAATCCTACACTTGCGAATCAGAAAACGAATCAGATCATGGCGATCGAGTGATTCGTCAGGAAGAAGATATGCCATCAACGTCAAGAGATCCTGATTTTATACCGAGCACGTTATGCCACCAACCGCACAAAATAACACAGTCAGAATTAAATGATCTTGTAAGAGATTTAGAACTTCCAAAATGTAAGGCAGAGTTACTTGGATCAAGACTGCAGCAGTGGAACTTGTTAGAAGACGATCTTTCGGTATGTGTTTTTCGTAAACGCCACAAAGACTTAGAAGAATGGAGATTGTTTATAAACAGTTCAACATTGAGTTTAAAGGCAGTGTTATTGCATATTGGAAATATTTTACCATCTCTTCCTGTAGGGTATGCAGTTCATATGAAAGAATCATATGACAATATGAAGTACCTATTGACATGCATAAAATACGATGAGCACCAATGGCATATTTGTGGCGATTTGAAAGTTGTTGCACTTTTACTTGGACTGCAGCTAGGCTACACAAAGTTTTGCTGTTTTTTGTGTGAATGGGACAGTCGGGCAAAGGCACTTCATTACACCAGACAAAACTGGCCTGTTCGTCAATTCCTAGAGCCAGGTCAAAAAAATGTACAGCATATGCCATTAGTAGATTCGAAAAAAATTTTATTACCACCACTGCATATCAAGTTGGGCCTAATGAAAAACTTTGTCAAGGCATTAGATAGAGATGGGTCAGCTTTTCAATACCTGCGTCAGAAATTTCCAAGACTAAGTGAGGCAAAGGTTAAAGAAGGTATTTTTGTTGGGCCACAGATTTGAAATATTTTGAAAGATACACAGTTTGAAAACAGGTATTGAAAAAACTGCTTGGAATGATTTCCGTCTGGTGGTCACTAATTTCTTGGGAAATAGAAAAGCTGACAACTATAAAACCCTTGTCAAAAATATGCTGTCATCGTATCAAAAGATGGGCTGTAATTTGTCTCTTAAGATGCATTTCCTACACTCACACCTGGACTTTTTTCCTGACAATTGCGTAGCCGTAAGTGATGAGCACGGCGAACGTTTTCATCAGGATATTTCAACAATGGAAAAAAGGTACCAGGGAAAGTGGAATCCTTCCATGCTTGCAGACTACTGTTGGACTCTTGGTAGAGATGCTCCAGAAACGATCCATAAAAGAACAGCAAAAAGACAGCGCATATACTGATTCTTAGAAGTATATGAATCTTGTTACTTTTTTTAATATATCCTTAAAAATAAAAAGATTTTTTTCTAAACCGCAACTAATTTTTTTATTTCATTGTCATTTTTGGATTCAGCGCCCCAAAATTAACAAAGAAGTGCACTTTTCCCACAAGATACAATTAAAAAACTAAAATTTGTTGTCCAGTGAATCAAAATGTTTTGCAACTATAGTAATTTTTAAAAGAATCTACGTCTTCGTGGAGGACTTCCATAAGAATCCTATATCCTGGAAAATTGTAGCACATTCTTTAACCGTATTTTTTTCCAAAATTCAATAAATAGCAAAAACATCAAAATCGGTGCACATTTGACTGATAGTAACGAAAAAATACCAGCAAGCGAGTGTTACAACTACTTATGACCCTCTGATATACCGGCTGTATGATAGTGGTGATAAAATACTGTTTATATTGGAGATATCGTGTTTTTTTAGGTTTATTCCATATTTTATGACTCTGCATGTATTGTATATATTGTTATGCAGATTTTGATATTTAGTTAGTTCTAGTTCGTCGCTGACGATCTAAATGAGTCGTTTTCAACGGACGTCATATGCGGACCTAACTGGTCACTACTCCGTCAGTCACAATTTCGTTGAATCTGCATTTAAACAACTGATTTCCAGTGGCGGGAGAGGATACCCTGGGTAACGCCTTCCACTCCTACCCGGGTAGAGTCTCCCACCCGTTGCTATTTTGAATTTGTTGGCAGTTTTTAGAAAAATTGGAAGAGGTTATAAATATTAGCTGAATCAGTACTGAACTGTCACTCTTCATTCATTCTAGTTTGCACGCACATTTAAACCGCCAATTGAATGTCTCCGCACACCGCGGAGGTTTTGGCTACCAGCGATGTGTCAGTGCGAATAATTTCGATCTTTAGCTATAGTAGGTTGCGACATAGACATCATAAATGGATAAAAGACTAATGGGCTTACCTGGAATGGGACAATGACGACACACAGCCAAATGTAGAAATGATATAGAGGATGGTGCTGCTCAGGAATCATCGGAAGCAGTATGAACTGCAAACCAAAAAGGGGAATCAGTATAAGGGCAGCTCTTGCGGCTCTTTTCATCCCCACTGGTGCAGGATTTGCAGAGTTCGGATGCATTATGGTTAGGATCACCCTTAGCACGTTGATAAGGAATACTGAAAATAAAAAAAATATTTTGTGACTAGGTACGGGCAAGGGATATTTAAAAATGAAACGATGTGCCACGTTAAATAAGGTAATTTTAGAAAATTTGAAGAACCTTCTTTTGCAATTCTATAGATGAAAAGCTATAGCTACTCTAGTTGCTATAGCGAGAAATATGCCATAAGTGACAGACTATCTGTCGCTTAAAAACATTCAAACATGCAGAAATTTGATCCAAAATAGATGGTGGAAATTGAAACTTTTTACATAAAATTGAAGAAGCATATGCGAAAATTGGAAATATCCGTACAATTTATAACGAAATTTAAAAGGTTGTCTTTCAAATGATTCATTTAAAGATAATTTTTTAAACTCTGGCGTGCTTTTCCTTTCCACTGCCGTAATTGTTTTGTTTTTCTCACACGTTTCTCCGAATTTATGGAATGCATTTTTTTAGATGTAAAATATGTGCATACATAGTTGTGTTCCACAACGTTTTCTACTTATCGACGATTTGTTCTGCAAGCCCTAATCGAGTATTTTCTTGGTACTCCTTTTATATCGTATATCTATCATTTAGAAACGTGAAACTTTGTAGCCAGAAGATTGAAAATCACACTGAATATTTCTGTGAATCCTGATTGGAGGGGATGATAATTACAACTATGATACTTACTTGTGCATAAAAACAAAATGACCACAACTGGCACACTCAAAAACCACGAGCTGAACGATACTTCCTCAATCCAACACCTGCAATAATAAATAATATCGTGATTATGACTATGAAAGTGGTATGGAAATACACGTAAGGTCGAAATTGATAGTTTTTGGTACTCACTGCGAACGTCGCTACTGCCGACGTCGTAGCGACGTCGCCAAATCCGAAGTCAGCGTTCCGACTTATTCCATATTAGTAATGACGATAAATCGCAGTGATATGGTAAAAAAAATAAGTCGGCCATACTGGCGTCGCCGTTTCAGATTTAGGCTTGACCAATCATATGCATATTTCTATTAAAGTCGCTAGACTATTTAATACCAGTGATATTGTCGGATAAAGTAGGTGAAGGCTACGTTCGTATTTTATTCCACTGCTTTCACATCTTTATATTCGGCCAAATTATATTTGTCTGGTTTACTGAGAACACCAGACAGTTCATTACTACACCCCTTTTTTACGTTGGATTCTGTCATGTTACTTCAGTTTTAACAGTAATCTTGTAAACATTTATCAGTACACTTGCCCAGGCTTATGACTCTTGTGTTAGTAACAACCGACTACGTTAAAATAATATCTTACAGTATATACCGCCTTCTACCGAATAAGTATATACCGACGAAAGAAATAAAATACAATGCATGTCTCCTGTACAAAATTTCATACCTAATCTATAAAAAAGGAAAAATAGATATAAATGTCCGAACCTAAAGCGACTCGCTCCAATGATGAACAACAACAAGTCGTTTTAGGTATCGTTTATCTCACTAAAAACTGCGACGATATAGGCATGACGGTTTGTAACTAACGCAACTTCGTTGGTCAGAAGTGTGACATCGGGTCGACCAAGTTTTGTGTGACTATCGTCGTTTAAATCTTGGTCGGTCCGACGTTGCAGCGCCGTCGTTGATCCGACCTTAAGGCGGTACCAGACTATTATGAGGGGCTTTTTTCACTACTAATACTTATTTTTGTAAACGTTATGGCAGTCATTATTGAAATGAGTAGTAGGGGGGGGGTCAAAACAAGTCAAAAAGTTCATATGTCCCATGCTCCAAAAGTCAATAGATTTTTGTCTAAATGGCTTTATAGTTTACAACTTTAAGTGCCACAATCACCACAATCTTACTAATTTTTATAATCTAATCTTAAACATTTTAAATTGGCTAATTAACAAATAAATGGCATTAAGTTTTTCTAAGTTGAGCCAAAATTTGTAGTCAGTGAGTAAGTTTCATTAAATTGAATATTTAAAACACACATGACAACAGCGCGTCGGTCATTCATCAGTCTTATCAAGCCGGCAAACGATTGCAAACGGTAACAGTGGTTAGTTATTGTTCGTGTGCGTCATCGTTTACGGTGAAGCTCGTCAGAAATCAAATCTTGCAGCTCAAATTTATCGCGACAGATTTCGCCAACGGGTACACCCAGACAGAAGGACAAGTGTACCAAAAACCTCGAGATACAGGAAGTGTTCAGCCCACTAATATTCGCACTCTTGAAAGACAGGTTACTGTAGAGCAGGAGGAACAAATTTTAAATATCGTGGAAATCAATGCAGATATCAGCACTCGGGAATTAGGCCGCCGCGTAGGACTATCGCATACCATAGTCCATAGAATCCTTCGGGAAAATTTGCTTTATCCCTACCATGTACAACGAGTGCAGGCCTTGTTACCAGAAGAGTATCCTCGCAGACTAATATTCTGTCAGTGGTTTTTGCACAAAAACATTGAAAATCCGGATTTTTTTAAAAACATTCTAGCGACGGACGAATGTACTTTTACTCGAGACGAGATATTAAATTTCCATAATACTCACACGTCGGCTCAAGAAAATCCTCATACCATTCGTGATTTCCAACAACGTTTTAAAATAAATATTTGGGCGGGTATTCTTGACGATCAGGTAATTGACCCTTTCGAGTTACCCCCAAAGTTGTCAGGAGAAGGATAGCTTAGCTTCCTAGCCAATAACCTACCAGAACTTTTGGAACAGACTTTAGACAACATGCCATTACAACGGAGACAGAATTTGTGGTTTCTTCATGACGGGGCACCACCACACATTTTTAGAGGATCTCCTGACCTCAATCCGATGGATTTCTGGTATTGGGGAGAACTTAAAGGTATGGTTTATGGGGCTGGTCCAATAACAACTGAAGCACAACTTCGCGAAAAAAAATTTAATGCGGCTGAAATAATAAATGGACAACTTCGAGGACCTAGAGTAAGAAGAAACTGGGTTCGTCGTAATGAAGCTTGTGTGGAAAGTGGAGGACGACATTTTGAACACCTTCTTTAGATACAAAAAAAGTGCAGTGTGGGTTTTAAAAAGAGAAACAATGTATGTATCAAAATTGTGTTCCCTATTTATAAGTGGATTTTTTTAATACGATCAGGAAACTTTCATACAGTGAAAGTCCGTTTTTTTAATTTTTTGCATTTTACGAGTACATTATCAAATAATGAAATAATACCTAAGAGCCAATAATAACGATCTCCATCTTTATTTACACTGTGTTCCGTCGTAATTTGCGTCTGACATTGCGGCGTTGTCAGATTTTATTTTACTTTAAAGTATTTTTTTTTGTAAATTGCATATAAAGCATTAAATGCGTATTTTGTTTATTACTTGGAGCGACATAGGACAAGGCTTCCTTTAATCCTACATATTCCGATTTTCTTGTGTAGGTTCTCCTTTGAAACCCTGCTGATCAAAAAGTTGTATTTACTAATGAAAGCGATTATCCAGTTTATTTATACAGGGTGATTCACAGGTCATGACCAAAAATGAAACATCATACACAGGACCGCATTTTAAGGGGGGTCTTCTATCTAACATTTTTTCCTCTAGGGCTTCATTAAAAAGACGGATGTTGAAGTTTGAAAATAAAAAGCATATTTAATATCGTCAAAACCGTCAACTGGAATAAACTAACATTTTGTATGTGGATTCATCTAATTATTGCCCACATTCAGAAGTCTTCACTTAAAATTAGAGTTCACCAGTGGCGGAGATCCAGGGGATTAGTGGCATTATTTTTCCAAATAAAAATAGTACTTCACTGTTTTTTTTTCGAGACGTGCAATATTTAAAATTTTAGCTTTAATTTGCTACAAATAATTACTCTTGTGTTTTTTTGCCTACAGTGCAATCTTTTCGTGAAAATAAAAAATAAAACAAATTAGATAATCAAAGCTTTATTTCAATAAATGTTTAAAAAGACCACCATTCTGACGGATACAAGTTCGGCATCTTTTTAATAAAGAAAAACGTATTTCCACAAAATTTGTTGTGGCTTGAACTTGATGAAATGCATTATCTATTCTTTATTGTAACTGATCAACAGTATTAATTTGTTCAGCATACACTAGTTGTTTAATAACGCCCCACAAAAAGAAATCCAGGGGGTTCAAATAAGGAGACCTCGCAGGCCACTGTACGGGTCCGTTTCTGCCAATCTATCGTTGTCTAACATGATTTTTTAACCATGCCGTTATGTGACGATTACCATACAGTGGGGCACCGTCGTGCTGATACCACATTTGTACTCTCGTTGCCAATTTAACATCATTTAACACATCTTCTATGTAATTCTCTAGAAAAGCTAAGTATGAGTTTGCATTTAAACGCTGTGCCGCACCAGACATTTCTAGAAAATCTGTGTTAAAACGAGTGGATTTTCTAACGACCAAATATGTTCATTATGAGAATTAATGGTTCCACTCATCGTAAAAAGCGATTCATCTGGCTACAAAACCAAATCATTAAATCATTGAATATGCGTTTGCAGTAAAACCACTCACAAAAATTTCGCCGTTGCACTTAGTCGCCGTATTGCAGACATTGTTACATTTTGCTATGGTAAGGATGTAAAACTTCCAGATTTAAAATTCTCCACACAAAACCTTGGGAACGTGGTAACTGGGCTCCAATCCGCATAGTATTTGCACTAAGATCATCCAACGCCAAATTAATCACTTCCAGTTCCTCTTGAACAGTATGCCGGACACCATGGCCTCTAACTCTGGGAAGTTTGGAAATTCCATATTGCCGAAGTCTTGGGAATGAACGCGTAAAAACCTTTGGAGTAGGTTGGCGTCTGTTAGAAAATCTACGTTGATACTCCCGAGAAACCGCTAAAGTATTCCCATTATAGGACCCGTACACAAAAATAATATCAGTGTACTCATCATTACTAAATTTCATTTCACAATACCCAAAAATGGGAAAAAGGAACCTTTGACTTGACTTTTACAAAAACAAAAAATGGTAGTAGTAACGATAGTAACCGTATAACACATAACTTCAACAAACTATCTCCCAAGAAACGTCAAGTTTTAAAATTTTAATTTTTCTTTTTTAGGAAAACCGTGCACTCTCTAAGAAAAAAGACGAGAGTAAATTAGGAAAAAATGTTACCCCCCTTAAAATGCGGTCCATTTTTTGTCACGACTTGTGAATCACTCTGTATGAATTCATTTAGTATTTTTTGACTGTTTCATTTTTGTTTTTGTAATATCTCCCTCTGCTGACTCAGATTCTTTAATTCCATTTCCCCCAATTTTTTTAGTAATTCAAGTAATGTCAACCTAATACGGCTCAATATTTACACTTTTTGATACAATTTGTTACTCATTAAAATATCAGTTTCCGTGGACAATTTTAAAATTAACGAAAATTTTGAAATTCATTTTAGCAGACCATGCCCTTTCCAAAAATATATATCCGTTATTTTAGATTGATTCCTAATTCAAAATGATTACAGAATGCCTTCAATAGC